CCCTCTCTCTCCCTCTCCCTCCCTCTCTCTCCTTCTCCCTCTGTCTCCCTCCCTCTCCCTCCTTTCTCCTTCTTTCCTTTCTTCTTTGCCTCCTTTCCTCCTTTTCTTTCACAGTCCTGATATCAGCTTTGCCCTGAGCTTCATCTCCAGCTCTTTTTAAAACAACTTTTAAAATTTATTTTATTTTGAGCCAAGGTCTCCCTAAATTGCTCAGTTGCCCAGGCTGGGTTCAAACTTTGGATCCTCCTGCCTCGGCCTCCCAGGGTGCTGTGCTGACAGGTGTGCCCCACTGCCCCCAGCTGGGCTGGTGTGTTTGCCACAGGGCAGACGCCTTCCCGGCTCTCAGCGTGGCCTTTCCCCCTCAGGCCTGGGCAGACGACGTTGGGCGGTTCCACAGGATGTTCAGACACCCAGCTCATGTGCAGCTGAAGGTCGTCGCCGGCAACCACGACATCGGCTTCCATTACTGGTGAGCGGCTCCCAAAGCCACTGAACCCTGAGAGCTCTTGTTGCTCATTTGAACCCTTCCCAGATCCAGGGGAAGCCTTGCTTTAACAATTCATTGATTTACTTTGTGGGTTGGGACCCAGGGCCTCGAGGTGCTGGGAGGGAGCGGGGAGGCCTTGCTCCTCCTCCCTGGGGAAGAAGGGAGCTTTCTCAGCTTCCTCAGGGCCGCAGCCCTGCTGGGGGCTCCTTGGGCGGAGCCACGGTGCACCCAGTGCGCCTTGGAAGCATGGAACTGAAGCCCTGGGTAGACCAGTTGGACCTCACAGCCTGCAGGTGTGGACGATGTCAGCTGGGGTCTCTGAGCCCGCCCTGCCTCTGTGGAATCACTCAGCTCATCCTTGCTTTTGGCCTGTCATTGTTGCTGCTAGTATTATCATTACTGGACTGGAGACTGAGCCCAAGCCTTTTGCCCTGAGCCACATCCCTAGCCCTGTTTTATTTCTTATCTTGAGACAGGGTCTTGCTAAGTAGCCCAGGTTAGGCTTGGACTTGAAACCCTCCTGCCTCAGCCTCCTGGAGTGCTGGGATCATAGGTGTGCACCCCACAAATCTTATTTCACTCATTCTCCCAGTGAAGACTCGGGGGCCCTGGGTTCTGGGTGACCACCCAGGGCCCCTGTAAGGCCATGAGTCCTGCCCAACACTCGGTCCGAGTCCCGTCCGTGCTGGTGCTGCTGTGGAGCCAACATGGCTCGGTCTCACAGATGTTTCTTTTGACTTTGCATGTAGGATGAACAGTTTCAGAGTAAAGCGATTTGAGAAAGCCTTCAGCTCAGAGAGGCTGTTTTCTCGGAAAGGAGTAAAGTGAGTTGTCTGTGAGTCCGTGGAAGCAGCTCCTTCTGTCTGGGTGTGATGCTGGGTGCCCAGCGCCCCAGCCCCGCACCCTGACCTGCACCCCGAGCCCTTGCTGTGATTCGGTCCACCCCACCTGTTCTGTCTGACCTGGTGCCCAGGGCCGTGTGCTGAAGGCTGCTGTCTGTCCTTCGGCGGGAAACCTCACACTCCCTGGGGGTTTCGTAGCAACCCAAAGCCTCTGGTCTGACTGGGCTGGGCTCCTTGCACCTGGGATCTGGTCTGTACTGCCCAGGTGTGGTGCATTTCCCCCGCCTGCTCTGTTCTTGGTGTTGGTCTTGTTTTGAGATGGAGTCTCATTTATGTTGCACAGGCTGGCCTCAAATTCCCTGGCTCAAGTGATCCTCCTGCCTCAGCACCCCCAGTAGCTGGACCTGCTCCCAGCTTAAAGGACTTTTTATTTGGTCAAAGTTACTCACTTTGCAAAGACTGCTCCCATGGTTACAGTGCCCAGGCTGCCTCTGACCCCTCTGTCTCTGACCCCAGCCCTGGCCAGCAGACCAGAGCCCTGTGTGGGCTCTGGGCGGAGGAGGGTGGGCTGGGATCTTGCCGTGGCATCCCCAGCCTGACCCCCGCCTCCCCAGCTTCGTGATGGTCAACAGCGTGGCCATGGAGGGCGACGCCTGTAACATCTGTGCCAAGGCTGAGGCTGAGCTCCTGCAGGTCTCGCGCCGGCTGAACTGCTCCCGAGAGGTAGGGCTGTGGACGCCCCGCTGCCCCGGCCCCGCCTTGCTGTGGGCGACAGGCCTGCAGTGACGCTGGCTCCTGTGCAGGTGCCGGGCTCCGGGCCCTGTGGAGCGGGGCAGCAGCTGTCCCCGTCGGCCCCCATCCTGCTGCAGGTGAGTGGGGCACGTGGGTGGGGGCGCGGGTGGGGCACCCGTCCGGCCCCCTGACCCTGTCGGCCCGCAGCATTACCCGCTGTACCGCGCCAGTGATGCCAACTGCTCTGGGCCGGATGCGGCTCCCCCGGAAGAGAGGAGCGTCCCCTTCAGGGAGAGATATGACTCGCTGTCCCGGGAGGCCTCGCAGAAGGTGTGCTCCCTCGGCCACAAGCCGATGACCCTCGGTAACCAGTCGGGCCAGGCGGGCTTTGTTCCTCTGTTGTTCAGTAGATCTGCTTTTCCTAATCGCAAGTGAGTGATGTGCTCAGCTCATTCTTGCATTCAAGAATTCCCCGCCAGCTTGGCATGGGGGTGCACTCCTGTACTCCCTGCACTCAGGGAGGCTGAGGCAGGAGGATGCCAAGTGAGAGCCCAGCCAGGACAACGTAGTGAGACCCTAAAAAGTCAAAACAGGGCTGGGGATGTCATTCAGGGTGTGGACTCTGGGTTCAATCCCCAGTTCTGGGAAAAAGAAAAAATGCTGCCCATCGACATAAATGGATTTGGAAGTATAAATGGGTCTTAGGGTCTAATTTTTAGGGACTGAAATAAAATGTGCTTTTTTGAAAACGCAGATTTAAGAAGTATATACATGATATACAACATTTATATATAATAAAAATGAATTTAAATTTATATTTAAAACATACCAATTTATATGTGAGATATATAAAATCCGGGATGGGAAGAGTAGATTCTAGTATGACAGGACTTTGAGGGAAAAAGAGCCTGTCCTGCATGATTAGGGTCCATTTCCGTGAAGAACTGACCTGGCCAGTGAGGCCTGCCCTTGTCCCTGGTCCTCACCTCTAATGTCCCCGCCCCATGCCGACTGCCCTGTGTCCTTGTGTCCAGCTGCTGTGGTGGCTGCAGCCTCGCCTGGTGTTGAGCGGCCACACACACAGTGCCTGTGAGGTGCTGCACGGCGCAGGGGTCCCCGAGATCAGCGTGCCGTCCTTCAGCTGGAGGAACAGGAACAACCCCAGCTTCGTCATGGTAACTAACGCGACTTTATTTGTATGCGACAGCTTTCATACTATTCAAGCCAACACAGCAATCAACCGTTCACGCGCACAGTCCGTGAGAATGCACCAAAGCCACGGGGAGTGACCGCCACTCGCTGAGTGGGGGCCCACGAGCCTGGCGCTGTGTGGAGGAGTGGGAGCCATCACTGTCACCGCCTTCAGACGCGCTGCTTGCCCTGGCTGGGGCTGGTGGTGGCGCCCGTTCAGCCCTGGGCCTGGCTGGCGCCGTGCGCCCCAGCGGTGCCTGTCTCTGCAGCAGGGGAGCAGCCTCGGTCTTCCCACTGAACTGGGATGGAGACATTGGCTGCCACCCTGGCTCCTCGGTCTTGACCCTTGCTGGCTCGACACTTGTCCCCCACTGTGTGTCGGGGCACCGGGCCAGGGCGTGGTGGGTGCAGGGCCTCTGAAGCTGGTGCCCTCCTGTGGGCCCGGGTCAGACTGCTGCGTCCGCCCTCTCTCCCAGGTCAGCCTGACGTCCCGGGACTTCGCCCTCTCCAAGTGCTTCCTCCCGCAGGAGGACACCGTGCTGGCCACCTACTGTGGGGTGGTGGGGCTCCTCGTGGTCCTCGTCCTGGCTCACACGGAGCGGCTGGCCTCGCCCTTCCTTTCTGGTTGGAACGAGCTCAGGAGGCACAGGAGCTGGTGAGGTGGTGGCAGCTGTGCTGCCCGCAGGACCTGGAGGCCCAGACTGGCTCCCGAGCCCGCGGGGAGCAACGTGCAGGCCCTCTCTGCATCCCAGAGACCCTGGCATTGCTGTGGTGAGACTGCAGAGACAGTTGGCTGCGCTGTTCTCATGCTATGGAAATGGAACATGGACTCTACACATGTCTGTTCTCTTGTGATTATCAAATACACGGCAGTCAGGCTGCGTCTGTACAGGACGTGAAGCTGCTCCCCACTGCCTCCCACAGGAGGCGCACGGACCCAGTGCACGCGGACCCAGGTTCGCCGAGTCCTGGGCACTGCCTGGCGGCCTCGTGGGTTGCGCTCTTGAGGTGAGCGCCGGGCGTGCAGGGACACACTGCTCTTCCGGCTTTGTGCCTCCGTGCTAAACTCCTGGGATCAGGGCTCTGGATAAATGTAATTCTCTTCTCTGGGAGACTGGGATGTTGCTCCGAATCTCATGCCGTCAAAGATCAGAACTTGAAAGAATGGACTTAGGATATTTAAAAATAAATGTTGCAGTAATTTAAAGTCAGATAAGCTGTATTGTTTTTCCCCCTATATGGGTCTGGCTCTTTTTTTTTTTTTTTTTTGGTGCTGGGGATCGAACTCGGGTCCTTGCTCCTGCGCAGCAGGCAGCAACGCCACTGAGCCAAATCCCCAGCCTGGCCTGGCTCTTATTTTCAACCCAGCTTATATTTATTCATCTTCAGCGGTGCAGGGGATCGAACCCAGGGCCTTGAGTGGGCTGAGACCTCTGCTGCTGTTGCACCCAGCCCAGCAATGGTCCTTTGGTCAGGGAGGAACTGATGGGCGATAATGAAGACGGACAGCATCTTTAAACATTTCTTTTTTTGGTGGAGGTGCATTTTTAGTTTTCTTCCTGTTCTAAGTGGGAGTCACTTCCGTTCCCTGTCCCAGGCCAAACGGGAGGAGTCCAGCTGCGGCCAGGGGATGGGCAGGATCAGGTGGCTGCCCTTCCTGGAGGTGATTTTAAACCTGGGCCAGCTCAGAGAGGACTAGGAAGTGCGGACTTACGGAGTAAGCTGTGAAACAGGAACAACTAGGAGGAGAACTAAGGGTGTGATCCGGGCGCTGCCTCTCTGGGTCCGTCAGTGAAGCCTTAACGCAGGGTGGCTTCACAGGTGCCCTCAGACCAAGGAGGTGCCCGTCCACCTAGGCCCACGCAGCCGGCCTCAGTCTGGGATTCTTGAGGCTGCATTTGCGAATCTCCCAGGGTGAGAAACAGCCATGTTTCTCTTTGTATTTCACATAAGGGTTTTGTGGGGCTGGGGACATGGCTCAGGGTAGAGCACTTGCCTGGCATGCACGAGGCTCTGGGTTCCACCCCAGTACCTTCAACACAAACAGAAAGGGTTTCATAAGGTTTCTTCTGGAAAAGACAGATGGAGATGCCCTGCTCCTCCTCCTCCTCCTCTTCCTCGGCCATCATGAAGGGCGACAGCCTGACTCTTTCTCGCTGACCACTTGTACTCGTGATGGAGTCTGTGTGTGCAGCTCTGATGGAACGGCCGCTGGTCTGTCCTGCTGGGAGCTGACGGGGTCTGTACCCGGCACAGCGACCCAGGGCAGTCAGTGCCCGGGGAGAAGGTCCCCAGCCCCCTGGGTTGGAGCTTGGGATTCTGCAGGGAGGCTCAGAGGACAAAGCAGGGGCTGCAGCCCATGTGGTGATGGTTAACACGTGTCGGTTACGTATATTTTTTAAAAGATGAAGACGTATTTTATAAAGTACCAGCCTGATAAAAATGTCCCACAGGGGCTGGGGGTTTAGCTCAGTGGTGCCGTTGCCTGCCTCGAAAGCACAAGGTCCCGAGTTCGATCCCTGGTACCAAAAAAAAAAAAGTCCCACAGCCTATGAAAGCTATTCGTTCCCCTTTTTGGAGCAAGCAGCCGGTCATATCGACACAAAGCTTTCAGCACAATGAGAACACATTTCCTCACAGGTATAGCTACCATCAAGGCACAAAAATCAACGAGGATTTTTGTTCAATAGTGATATAAAAGAAGATTACATTTTGTGGTCTGTACAATATAGTAAACCAGCCATAAACCAACAACAAAAAGAATATGGGAGGAGACCGCAGCCAAGTATTGGGAAAGTGTAGAGTTGTTTCAGACAGGGGACATGTTTTACAGTGGAGGATGTGGCGGCTTTCTGCCCAACTCAGACGCTCCCGGAGAAAGGGATGCTCACTGCCCGTTGCTATGCCCTGGCCAGTGGTGACAGGAGGGGCAGTCACTGGTCAGCCTGTGGCTTTGTGATGGGAAAACCAAAAAGGGCCACATGTTCCCCCTATCCACCGAGTTCTCCATGATGACTTGGTTAGTCAGTCACCAACCAGTGAGTCAAAGGGGTCCCAAAGGCGAGACTTCACCACGGCGCCGCCCCAGAGCTGGTGGTCTGCACAGCAGGGACTGGTGCAGGGGCCAGGACAGCTGTGTTGAGTGGAAACAAAGCTACAGAACCAAACCTGGGGACAGAGGTAGCCAGAGGCTTGGTGGTCACGCACGGGTGCAGTCAGGACAGGACAGATGGCAGCCAGGCGACACTAGACACTACATCCTACCACGGCTCGGGGCAGACGATCGCAGTCCCGAGGGACGCCCGCCTTGGGGACTGGGTCAGGTGGGCGGGGCGCGCTCCCTCACAAAAGCTCATACTGCTTGAGGTGCATGCGCTGGATGATATCGCGACAGTCGTTGAAGACACGGCGGATGTTCTCCGTGTCCACGGCACAGGTGAAGTGGGGGTAGCAGTAGTGCTTGCCGTCACCGGTCGCCGTGCTGATCCTCTGCAACAGAGGGCGTCTGTGTGAGCCGCATGGCTCCCAGGCATGGGGGTGCTGGGACCCTAACCCCGAGACTGCCGCTTCATCACATGAAGGACACCCGCATGGCAGCACAGCACACTTCCTGTGTGCCTGGTGGGTATGGGGGTTGCCCTTGGGGTCTGTCTGGCCCCTTCCTCTCTGACACTGTCCCCTGCCCTGCTTCCTGACCGCCATGGACTGAATCCCCTGAAGCTGGGAGCCAAGTAAACCTCTCCTTTAAGCTGCAGGTGTCTGCTGTTGTGTCCCAGCGACTGGAAAGCTGATCAGTGCACACCTGGACAGCCTGGAGCTTGCCTATGCCCATGGGCTCAGAGCTGCAGAGACAGTGGGCATGGCTACAGCACGGCCCTGGCTCCCGGGGGCGCCCACGCCAGCACAGTGGTACAGACCCTGCTTTCATGGTGGGACTGTCCTCTGTCTACACTCTGTCAGTGGCACAGTAGCCACTGCTGCCAGCAGGTGAACCCAGGGCTTGGGTTCTTTCACTTGGCTTTCCCTCACTTAATTTAAGTACCTGTGTGTGACGGGGCCCTGTGGTGCTGCACATCACACGGGTGGCCCTCAGCGCTTGCTGTGTTGCCCCAGCCAGTGGGAATACCCCGGTGTCTGCAGAAAAGGGCCCTGTCCTTGGCAGGTTTGGGAAATGTGGGGTTGAGCATTGTCATGTGTGTGAGGGCCTCTGAGAGACACAGGCATGGGGAATAGGAGCCACTGGGGTGCAGAGGACTGTGTCCCCACCCAGAGCCCTGTGCCTTGCCCTCAGCCCCAGGCCATCGGGTGACTGTCTCTGTTAAGGCTGAATGAGGTCCCGGGCGGGTGCTCGTGCGGTGTGGGTGTCCGTCCAGATGGAAAGGGACAAGGCCCGTGAGGACGGGAGACAACCACCAGGCTGTGAGAGGTCCTGCAGAGCTGTCCTTGGGTGCCATGGCATTGCTGGGCCCCTTGCCCCACCCAAGCCTGTTGGCCACCGTCTCCAGGTGCTGCTCGGACCACAGAGGGGTCCTGAGACAGCGACCCTGGGGCTGGCGCTCCTCCTCGGGTCACTGTTCGCAGTCAGGCTTCTCAGGTACTGTCTTTTTCTTGGGGAAGAAAGCCTGTTTCCACCCACTCCTTGCACTGCATGCCAAACGCTTCCCTGGTGCCCACTGGAAGACGCTCAGGCCGCTCCCTATGATCGCAGCACTGGCAGTCCCTGCCTGGGGCACGATTGCAGCAGAGGCTCCGCGCCCGCGCCCGGTCGGCTGACTGACACCTGATGTGCACGGGTGCTCACACCGGTGACAGAAATGGGCCTGGGGAGGAGCACCATCCCAGCCCCGGGCGGCTGGGTCCTCCTCACGTGGTGGCTGAGATGGACCCGGGCAACTGCTGCCCGTCTCTGCCCAGCGCACCTCTCCCTCCTTCAGGACGGCCCCACTTCTCCAGCTTGGGACCTTCATTCCCCTGGGGCCCGTGTCACCCAAGCTGAGGTCCTGTCCGGACTGAGGATCAACAGCGGCACCACACCCCAGCCCCAGCCCCAGCCCCAGCCCCAGCCCCAGCCCCAGCCTCAGCCCCACGGCTGCCTGTCTCCTCCTGAGCTGGGTTCCACCTTCTCCAGGGCGCACCCCGAGTCCTGCCAGGCAGATCCTACAGTCAGAGCTGGGCAGCCCCGCCCGTGCCCGCAGTTCCCAGCTGCCGAGAGCACAGGGGCTGGGTGGGCACTGGCAGGGCGACGGGGTCTGTCCAGGCCCGGAGGCCCCTGCTCTGGGGAGGCCAGAGCTGTGTCTCTAGGCCACGCCATCTGCCCAGCACCGGCACCTCAGGTCACTACTGGTTCTCAAGAGCGCAGTGCTCTCGGGGCAGGGCCTGAGTCTGGGCATGAAGAGCCTCACGGAGACCACTTCCAGCGACGCCCTTCCCCACGGCACTGGCAGGGCACCAGCTCGGGAGGGCCCAGAGAAGCAGCTGGGGGTCCTCAGCACGCCTGGCCTGACCCACCCACCTCGCATCTGGACTCTCCTCCGGACCGGACTGAGGGCCTCTCTCCTTCACTGCAGGAGCTGCAGCCGCCTCGCCATCTCTGGGCGGTGGCCGTGACCCAAGGCCAGCAGGCGTCCCTGGCTGGCGGTGGCCGCAGACCCCCGTGTTGAGTGGAAGGCCCAGTGCACCTGAGTCAGGGCCCTGAGGACCCATGAGGGTCATCGGTGTTGAGCAAAGGCAGAGTCAGAGCCAGCGGCTACACATCGCTGGGTAAGATCGTCAGGCAAAAGAAAATTCGCGGATGGATGACGCAGATGTGGGGAAATCATGCCAATTGGTCAGTTTTGGTGAGGCCATGGGAATGGTCAGTACAATTACTTCACGATTTATGTAAGTTTGCAGCTATCTTAAATTAAACCATTGAAGAGGGCCGGGATTTAGCTCAGTGGTTCTGGTGCCCGCCTTGCAAGCACAAGGTCCTGAGTTCGATCCCCGGTACCAACAAAAGAAAAAGAAATTCTTTAAAAAAAAGAATTGAAGAAAAGGAAAATGTCTCAATTTGAGAAGCTCCATTTTCCCATTAACTTTTACCTGCAGCAACTTTTGGATGGAGGAAGCGGGCACAAAGCGTGAGTGCCAGGGCCTTGACTTTGCCCAGGTTGCCTCTGTCCCTTGGACAATTCTTGGGACACATGAGGCTCGAGTGGGCACCGTCCTGGGGGCGGGCAGCACGGCAGAGGCTCTGTGGCCGGGGCCGATCTAACCACCCTGAACCCGGGTCACGACACCAAGGCTCACAGTTGTGCCGAAGATTCAAGGAGACTGGGAAAGGCTGAGTCATCTCTGAGTTCCATAACAACACTGAGGTGGCAGAACAAAAGGTAAAATCGCTCACCAAAAACAGGTCCCGGATGAAGAACTTGGCTCTTGTAACCTTGGGGTCTTCACCTGCGTCTGGTGTTGCTGTGGAAATTAAAAAGAGTTTCCTGTCAGTGGTGTGAAGCCGCAGTGTGACCGCATGGAAACAGAGCTCCTCACAGCCCCGTGGGCTCTGGCCTGCTCCGGCTCCCCTCTGACAGACGCCAGGCAGGCGGGGGCGGGTCCCCTGCAGAAAGAGGCTCACGGAAGGTTCTGGAAAGCCGAGCAGTCACCTGACCCGGGACCAGGGCCCTGCAGTCCGCACCACACCGCCCAGCCTCGTGGGCTCCGTCCACGTGGGCCGGGACCCCGTGCTGCCTCTGCCACCTGGCCCCAGGGGGACAAGACACCAGCACCCAGGGCTACCCGAGGGCGGGGGGAGGCGCCCGCTGCCACAGGCACGAGGGGCGTCGGGCGAGGCCCTGCAGGTGGGTGGTGAGGTGCTCGCTCTGCCACACGGGGCGGCCTCCATCCGCCAGCTCCAGTGTCAGCAGCTTGGAGCCCCGCCTGGAAAGCCCACCCCCGAGTGAGCGCAGAGGCCCAGCCGGGACGCCTCTGGGCCGTGTGCCAGGCCTATGTGAAACACAGGTGACTCCAGGTGGACTTGGTGCTGCCCCGAGGAACCTCGTTCTGTCTGGACAAAATCCACGTCTCCCTGCAACCCCGCTGGCCTGGCTGCATGGGGCCCTCCTGGGCTCCAGCCGTCGAGGCGCTGGGGAGAGACTGACCTAATTACGGGGTGCCCTTGGGTCGGCCTGGGTTGGGGCTCACCGTCTTCGGGAACGGTGTAATTTGCATACTCGGGGAAATAGTCTTCAATCTTTGATTTCCCCGCCAAGACTTTTTCGGCCAGCATGTCCTGTTTGTTCAGGAACAAGATGATGGAGATGGTCCGCAGCCACCTGGAAGGGCAACAGACAACATTTCACATCCGGGGTGCACCGAGTTCAGCTGAGCAGGGCCCGGGGACCCTTCACTTCCCAGGGCTCAGCACTGGTCCGTGGGGGCAGTAAAAATGCCTTAAACCCACTCCCCAAGTGGAGAGAGTGGCACTGTTTCCTCTAGTTGTCAAATACATAATCTCGGCAAAAAGATTATCTTCTATCATCTTTAGTTCAGATTAATTAACCTTGAAATAATTAAATTGAGATTATAATTTATAGCCGGGCATGGTGGTGCATGCCTGAAGCACCAGGCACTCAGGAAGCTGAAGCAGGATGCTCAAAAGTTCGAGGCCAGCCTGGGAAGTTTAGTGAGATTCCATCTCAAAAGCAAACTTGAAAAAGGCTGGGGACGCAGCTCTGCGGTGGAGCACGACCCTGACACGCGGCCCTGGGTGCAGGCGCAGTGCCACCCCAAGACCCAGATACAGGGGGAACAATCAAGTGTCATTGTGACAGCCGCCCGGAGGCCACACTCTCAGGCTGTGTGCCAGGGCTCTTTCCTCTTTCTCCGGTGTGTGTGGGACGGAGCCCAGGCCCCTCCAGCACCCCGGCGCGGAGTCTGTGACCTGCATCACAGGGCAGGTCCTTTCTCTTGTGGTTGTGGTCTGTAATTTATAAAACGACTTGAAAGCATTCTTTGGTTGGCCTGCTCCTTCTTCCCCACCAACTGTCCTACACCACAGCGAGGGGCGCTGCTGAGCAGTGCTGGGGACCACGTCTCCTGCAGCCAAGCTCCCCAAACTCAGCTAGTTTCCTGCTCTCCTTGGGGGCATTTCTCACGGACTCTGGTCTCCTTGAGGAAAGAGGCCTGGGCCGGGCCTTCCTCACTGATGGCCTCTGGTCCCTGCCACGAGGCCGTGTCAGGCTCGGTGATCCCAGAGACCAGGCGGCTGTCAGCAAATGTTCTAAATGTCAAAAACCAAACGAAACCAGCTTTGAACCTGGACACAATCTCAGGCTTTCAAAACAATTTAAATTTTCTTGAAAAAGCATCATCAGAGTGTAATCAAAGAACACTCCCCATTTTAAGTGTAACTATACTTTACACAGAGTGAAACAGATACTTCCCTATGGCCTGGGGTTTATCAGCATGGAAAGGATGTGCTACTCGGAGAATAAGCATGAAAGGGAGCACTGCTAATAAACAGATCTGCAGCCTTTTGAGGGTGTGTATATGAATATATATACACATGAATATATATATTTTTTGTGGTACTGGGGTTTGAACCCAGGGTGCCCTATGACTGAGCTACATCTCCAGCCCTTTTAACTTTTAAAAAAAATTTCGAGCCAGGATCTCACCAAGTTGCCCATCCTGGGCTCAGACTTGGAATCCTCCTGCCTCAGCCTCAGGAGCGGCTGGGATTACAGCCGTGGGCCGCTGCAGCCAGCTGCTGCCTAACAGAGGGAGACCTTCCTCCGGCTGCCGGCCGCCTGCCCTCATCACCTGTTGTTCCAGATGCTCTCAAAAAGGTCCAGGGACTCTCTCAGCCGGTTGGTGTTGTTGTCTTCCCGGATGACCATGTTGTAGCTGCTGCAGGCCGCCACGTAGATGATAGCGGTGACATCTTTGAGGGGAAGAGAGCAGGGGCAGGGGGTGAGCGGGATGGCATCGTGCCCCACACCCTCACCGACTGGGCTGTCGCCAGGGGTTGTGAGCGGAGGCGAAGGTGCGCTGTGTCGAGGGGCGCTCCGTGGGCCGGGAGGGCTCGCCCGAGAGACAGAGGCCAAGGGACCTTAGACTCTGTCAGTGTGATTCACACTTGGGGAAGCAGCACAGCAACCCTGAGGTGCCTCGCCCCCCGTGCGCACTGCTGGGTCTCAGCTTAAGGCCACCCCCTCCCGGGAGCAGGGCGTCACCGTTAAAGCACTGGATCCACTTCCTCCGCTCGTCGCGCTGGCCGCCGACGTCGAACATGCTGTGGAGGAGAGCGGGTGTCAGCGGGGCTCGGAGCGGCCCTGTCTGCTTCCCCTTGCTCTCGGCTGTGCACCACGTCCCCACCAGGGAGGGCCAGGCTCTCACCGCCCCGGAGCCAGGGTGGCTGTGTCCCCAGCACCAGCCGAGCTCTGAGTCCTCCCCGCTCTCGCTCGGGCCCTCTGCTCTGCTGTGCCCCAGCCCCATCAGGTCCTCCCAGATGTCATAGGCCCTGGGCTCCCAGACTGTGCCCTTCCCTAAAGCCAGGCCTGTGAGCACCACAGACCACACCAGGGCCGGGGTGGCACCTTAACTGTCTCCCTGGGGGAACTGCGGGCTTGGTGGTGCTCGGTGGTGCAGGCACAAAGGACACAAAGGTCCCTGCTGTAGGTGGACCCCTCGCCAGGACAGAGTGGAAGCTGCCGGGTCCAGGGGCTGCACATCCTGATGGCAGTGTCATGCTAGGTCCTCAGGACACCTGGGAGTGGATGCCACTGGGACGGGGTCAGAGCACACAGTGGGGTCTGCTCAGCCCCAGCAGCATCCAGGGCCCTGAGGATGGGATGTGCAAATGTCCTGTGGCCAGTGAACTTGGAAGATGCCAACACTGTCCAACTGCAAGGGGTGGGCAGCAGGTGGAGGGGAGAGCAGGTGGATGGCCTGGGTCAGTGGTGCAGGGCTGGCGAGGAACCCAGAGGGACAGCAGGGTGCGGGTGGTGCTCAGGGAGACTCAACATCTGGCCGGCTGAGCCCTAGGTGGCTGGGGGGCCGTGAAGGCTGGTGTGGGGGCTGGGAGTGGACAAGCCTGCGTGCCAGAGGCTCTGCGCAGGGAGAATGGACTTCTCCTCACCAGGAGGAAAGCAAGACAAGCTGCTGGGGTCTGGGAGGGGCAGCGGGGAGCCCCAGAGGGCTGCAGCCTGCTGCCTCGTCCTCACGCTCCTGCTCCTGGCCAGCCGGAGCATGGTTCCCTTCAGGCCTCATCTCATTTGCCCCGAAGGAAGTGGCCACAGTGATGCCGACCCCGGGGAGCCCCGCCGGGCACACTCACTGGAAATTCACTTTGTCCACCTGGAACCGAGTCTCGAAGATCCCTGAGGTCAGCACCCTGCACCTCAGCAGGTCCTGAGGGGAGAGGCCGGGTGGACGGGTGAGCGGGACCAGATCGGCAATCCAGAGGGGCAGAGAACTCAGGGGATCGCCCTGGGCCTCGACCCCAAGGAAAACCCCACGAGTCATGTATTGCGCCAGTCCTAAAAGACCCGATGTCTGTGCCTTTATTTCCCATAAGACTTTCTACTAAGAAAGCTTTGAGCTCATCCTGCTGCCTGCCGTGGGCCACAGCGAGGGGAGAAGCTCCCCGCAGCCCCACTCCAGCCGCCGCCCCCACACGCTCAGGGCAGAGGAAGGGGCCCTGTGATGGGGCTCCCTCCCCCACAGCCCAGCCAGACCAGGTAGTCCTAAGGGGCCAAGGAGCCCAAGGGCCAGAGCTCACACCCAGCACGCAGGGCGGGCGCCAGGTTCTTTCTTACCCAGATGCACTGGGAGTCTGCGCCCTGACCCTGGGGACCTGAGGCAGCCCCGTGTCTGCGCATCCAGGCGAGTTTAGGACGCAGCCTAAAGGGTGCGCAGGACCAGGGACCAAGGGTGAGCAGGACCAGGACCCCAGACTGCTTTCCAGCCATGTGGGACTCAGGGGAGGGCCGGGGTCCCAGGCCCAGGGTCTGAGGGGAGATGGAGCCTCCTATGCTGCTTGGGTCACCCCAGCTCTGTCCCCAACACAAAGAAGGTTGCTCTGTTCCAGCTCAGTCCAGGGCCACTCTGGGCGCAGCCTGGTGTGTCGGGCCCAGCAAGAGGAGCGGCCTGAGAGGGGTCTGCGGCTCGGGGCCATGGGAGCGGCACTGTCCAGGTCTGCGTGGAGCTCTCCCCACACTGGCAGGTCTGGGGACCCCGACACACGCAGGCAGCATGCGGCGCAAGGTGGGGGTGTTTGGGAAGTTCCCCTTAATTTATTCAGAAGCGACCGCAGGGGTCCCGGAGGAGGGCAGGTCGGGCTCCTGTACCTGGTCCGTGGGCGTGTAGTCCACCAGGCTCACACTGTCGATTCTCTCCAGGAAGCTGCAAGACAGAGCATGGCCAG